CATTTTTCTTGTACACGTAATATATAAAACAGTTTTTATGCTTTTTTTTTTCCTTACTACTCGGCAGCGTTTACAGGACCTTGGCAGACAGCTGCTACTGAGTTTCTCCACTACAGCTGCACCTTGCCCACAGGAGTGTTTTCTATTCTGTGTCCTATCCCCTTAAGTATTCAGTGTTTAGGTTTGATAAAAGTGTTAATCACCACTGAAAAAATGCATATTAAGTCACCAGCAGCCCTTTCCTCTCTGCTTTCTTGGATTCTAAGCTAAAGTGTAAGGAGCCAAGAAGGCAAGGGAAACTCATTTCAGACAAGCATTTGCCTGTCCCAGACAAATATTTGCTGAAGATATGAGTAGTGAAGAGAGAGTTTTGTTTAAAATTGTCTTTGAAGAAAGAGTTTTTGAGTATGTGGGATGGGGGGTGAGTGGGAAGAGAGGAATAGACTAACCAAACTTCACTTTTTTATTCAAAATTGGTTGCATTTTGAAGATCAGACAGTATCAGAATAGACTTGAGCATATTTTCTAGTCTGCTCTGGGACATTAAAAAATAGAGTTGATTAGGAATTAGGGGAAAAAAGAGCAAAGCAAAATGGGCATAACTTTGGTACATAATATATCATCAGCAAAGGAGCATGTTAAAAACATTACCATAGTGAGGCATAAAAACTGTATGAACACTGCAAATGAAAGTGAGTTTCTATAAGGAAGTAGATTAGATTAACTCTGGCCTTGTAGTTCTGCTTTTGTAGCTTCTCCCTCTTTAAACTTAATATGTTATATGGGTAGAGGATAACACAGTCCACATCACAGTTGGCTACCCTCCACCATTCAAGTACAATCTCCCAAAATAGCCCAGAGTGCTTTCAAGGTCAGTGGCATGTCAGTGGGTGAAATCTGAAGACTATTGTGTCACACGGAAAGAAAACTGTTTTTCTTCTATGCTTTTCCACATATATGTAAACATTCAGCTGGAAGGAATGTGCTCTTGTCAAAACCTGTTAAACCAGTTCTGAGTTATTCACTCCCACACCATTGTGCACTTGGGCATCCATTTTGGTTTTCTGATAGTTGTGTTAGTATCATACTTGACTATCACGACAGTCAGTAACTTTTTAAAACCCCAAATGTGGAGACTAACCATTTCTTTAAAAAGCAAATGGTACTTGGCATAACCTGCCAAAACCAAGAAAATCTAAGTTTCTTTCAGCTGCAGTTCAGTTTTAAGAGCCTAACTGAAAGCATAGGGAACCTTTTCTGCAAATTTCAGTCATCTTTATTTTGTTTTATTTTGTTTTTTCCTGTGGGCTTTGGAACAGATCCTAGCCCCCAAATTGCTTTCAGGTGTTGCAGGATATTCACTGCAGGCTACAGTATTATAATTTACAGTCCAAAGGATGCTGAGCTTATACTTACAGGTAAATAGCATGTGCTGCTCCTTCCTGACTTCTGCTGTTTACAGGTCCTACTATACCCATAGGCAATCCTGCTTTCACCCTGCATTCTTCTTTAGCACCTCTCAATCAGCATATTTCCTTGCTGCTACATTAAATTAACTGGTATAACATCATAGTGGATTTCAGAGAAGTGTACAACACTGGAAATGTAGCTAATTCTATGCTGCGTGTCAGAAGCCAGTGTCCCTTCTCTGCAGTGTACGCATTGTTGCCTCTACACAGACAAAGATGTTCTGAAAAATAAGTTAGTTTGCAGAATTCCAGAAAGAAATTTTGTTTGTTTGTACCCCATTGCAACTGATGAAGACGATGAGTTTTGCTGCTTGTTTGGCAGCTGTTCTATCTCAAGATTTTTGTGAAGCTATAGCGTGACTCAGAGGGGAAAAAAAAAGGCAACACATATTCATGTCTAAGCATTGCTGGGTTCTGCACTAACATTTGGATTATAGTACTTGAGTGAAGGAGGCTGATTTGGAGCGTAGCACCAGATTTCACAGATTTAAGAGAGTATATGAAAATAGTCTTTTTCCATGCCTGGAAAGAAAACTGTGAGGGAATTTTTTTACCCAACTGAAAAATCTCATAAAACTGGGATTCTAAACTGATGGGACGTAATTCAGTAAAAGGATAAAAAAAGGGGGGAGGGATTGACAGGGGAATCATTAGTGCAAGAAAAAGCAGTGACTGGAGAACTGCACCTTTGATGTTAGGTGGTTTTAGAGCTAGAGAGAGTTATTCCACAAGCTTAAGAACAGTTATGGCAAGATTCCTCCTCTGTAGAGAGAAACAATTGGAAAAACTGACTGCACGAAACTTGGCTGTTTGCCTGAAAGTGTATGGAATAGGAATGAAAAAGTATAGTTTATTCTGAATATGGCATGGCGTAGACAGAGGGTTTCATGAAAGAAGCTGACAGAGCTAACTGGGAACCGCAAAACCTCAAACATACTACATAGTGTTTTGATTTCTACCCAGCTGATTATGTAGCCACACAAACTTAAAAGTAAACAAGCAAAACACATTATTACTGCGCTAGAAAGATTAAGCTGCAAAAGCTTTATGGTAGTTTAAGGAGTCTAGATTCAGTGATACTAATCTCTTAAAATAGGTGAAATGATTGCTCCTTAATTATAAACATGTAACTGGGGTGTAACTTAGCACTGACTTAAAAAGGAACCAGGCTACAGACTGTGCTTGCCTGCTGTTCTATACTCCGGGAAATCAAAGTTTCTGAAAAACATCTCAAATGGCAAGAATGGGTAACTTAAAGCATTACTTTTCATGCAGAGCGGCCTTGTTTGATACAGTGTAAGTGGCTTTTATAAGCTTGAATATCAAGAAGATGTGAAGACAGTATAGCGGTTTCACCATGTAGTAATTTCCTCTTCCAAATGAGTTTCACTTAAACTTCTTACTGAGCTAACTGCATTATTTATTCACAATTTACATTTCAGCCCAGCCAATCATGCAGAAACACAAAACTTAGTTGGAGTGGGGTGGAGGAAGTCAGTGGGTTGGGGGAAATCACCTAAGGAAGTAGAAATACAAAATTAAAAGCTGAATAGAAACTTTAAATAAAGGTTGCACAGCTGAGAGTTAAGCTGCTCCAGAAAGTGAGATCAGTGTCTACCGAGGAGCAGTCAAGTAGTTTCTTCAGAGAGTTCTGGGATTTTTGTATAACTCCTTTTTTTCGATACTGGCAAATAAAAAAAAAAAATACAGCATCAACCTTATGATGATAGAAACCAAGATGCAGTACAAGTGACTCATGTGGGAACTGTGCTGTAGTTTATTCTTCTATTGGCTAGATTGTTTCTAGCCTGGAGAAAATACATTTTAGCGAACAGGGTTAATCACTTACTTAATTTGGAAGAAGTAACCATTAAACAGGAACAGAAAACATTCGAGATGCTTCCTCGCTGCCGTATCTAAACAGCCTGCAGAGCTGTTTTGTTTTTTAACTGTATATAAAAAACCCAAACCAAATCAAAACAAAAAAACACATGGGGAAGTATTTGACCGGTTTGTATTTTCACCCTGAGTGGCACAGCTTTCTCTGCCACACTGCTTGTGGGACTTCGCGGTAGAGAAACTTCAGTTTGAGCCTATGGTTCATATCGGCACTTGGGTGTCCCTCTCAGCTCAAGTGCACGAACACTTTGTTAAGGCCGTGAAAGGCCTCCAGGCTTGAAAAGCTGAACCTGTTGCCTAAGCACTTTGCTAGCCTGAGGCCTACTGAAGCGGCCTAGCTGGTAGCAAAGGTTGATGTACTGTGCGTTAGGGAACTGAGGGTTTGTAGTTTGTTTGTTTGTTTGTTTGCTTCCCCTGTGATATATATGGCTCTTAAATATTTGCCAGTCCTATGTTAGTGTTCAAACCTATCTACTAAATAGTCAGGTGCAGCAGGTAATCTCTGGGGAAAAACACTGAGGTTGTTATATGCATTTCAAAAGCACGTGAAATGCAAATTACGTTCTTGGACTGGCTAGAACTTTAGCAAAGGTGAGCTTGCTCCATTGACAGCAGGGAGATACCAGAGGAATGATGTCATCAGCGGACAGTATGTTCCTGCATATTTTGCAATATCCAGATGAAATTGAGATGAGGATTTGAAATTTATGTGTGTAGGTATTTAGACATTTGCAGCTGTGAGCTTGCAGGTGATGAGCCGTGGTAATAGTTACATCACAGGCATGCTAATAGCCAAGAAAAGGAAATTAAGTGGTGTAATGATATAAATTGCCATCCAAAAGAACAGGCTGGAATGTACTGCTGCTGTTACTAGTGTTCCAGAAGTGCTTAATTTTACCAGTCCTGTGGAAAGCAATGCATTTTGAGCATAGAAGCTGTTGCTGACAGAAGTGCTTACACGCTGCAAAGATAGTAAAGTTCATCTTGGAAGAATTTGTCTGCCTCTTGCAAAGGAGGCCAGAGGAGATGTTAAAAGGAAACAGATTTCTCCCTTAGGGTTAGCCTTACTTGCTTATGGAGGCTAGCCATGCTGGTGAGTTTCTGAGGTCAGCACTGATGTTGCTGGGGAAGAGGAGGGACAAAAGTATAAAGCTGCCTGGCTTGGAATCAAGCAAGCTGTTGCAGACGATCTCCCACAGAGCATGAAGATACTCCTCCTGCCAGCTGCTGCTGTCGTGTAGCCTCTTTCCTTCAGTCCTGTCTGCCAGCGGGTAACAAACCACAATTGAACTCTAATACAAGTGGAATAGGTTTAATGCAAATTTCTTCAGTTTTCTTTGCTCAAAAGAGCACAACAAGGAGTGAATTAATTTTCTTGAGATTGCTGGTGTTAATATTTCTACAAGAAGCTAAGCCATCTAACACTTCAAGGGCAACAACCGTTGAGTGTGCCAGGAAAACAGCGTTCTATTACAAAACTGTTGTTGTATGGAGAGACCCAAGGAAAGCTTTCTTTTCTTGGTTCACAAATAAGAAATATAGTCAATTTACTTTCTTAAGACCTGGCATTTCAAGGAGAGGTGTGGATTTCTGTCACATCATGGCAAATGACACTTTTGTCCTTTTCTTCAGGAGTGCATCATTGACGAAGACTGTGAAACAGGGAAATATTGCCAGTTCTCCAGCTTTGAGTACAAGTGTGAGCTCTGTAAAACCCAGCATACAGTAAGTCTGGAATGATATATGATGTTATATGGTCTTTAGAAACTTGCTACATATATTATTGTTGCTAATGTCAGCAAACCACATTGTTACATATAAAGAGGCATAGCTTTCCCTGTGAGGCTAAAAAAATGCTTGTTTCCCCTGCCCCCCCCCCCCCCCCTCGTTAACACAACTAAGTTACAAAGTTTCTGTTTTTGCGCACTTTAAAACCTGCTCCCTGCTTCATCTGACTCTAGTTTGACTCCAGTTAGGACAGCATAAACTAACGTATTGTAGGTTGCCATAGGGATGGGAAAAGAGCAAGCATCATCCTAATTCTTAAGACTCAGCTGACAGTTGGTCATTTCTAGCTGCTGAATTGCAGAGAGGAGATTTACAAACCCAAACCCCCTTTTCTCTGCAGTCCTCAGCAGAAGGTTTGTAGTATAAAGAAGGTAAAAATTGTGTCCTAGCTCCACTCCTGTTGCAAAGTGAGCTCAGACTGAAGGTGGCTAGATCAAATCTCTGATTTAGACTCCCGCAATAGCAAAAACAAAAAAAGGGGGAGGGAGGGGGCCAAGACCCAACAACAACAACAAAACAACCGCTTTATAATTAGCAGATCTTAATAGTGTAGTCCTATTTCTTGCCACATGTAAGCATAATGTGATCCACTGGAAAATAAATCTCTCTAATTTTTTATGGCTGCCCAGACAGGGTTTTACAGAGACTAAAAAAACCCGTTGAAGTGCTGACCTACTAGGAATCTTTAAGATATTCATCAAACCACCTATAAAAAGAAACAGAATAACACACTGCTTTCATTGGGTTGATTCATTAGGTTTGTGTAGTTTGAAACATTTGGGCAATTGTTATAAAAGCTATCTAGAGGAGATCTGCATTTCTCCTTTTCAAAGATACTTGGTTGCAACTGAGGTATGGTTTGTATTACAAATAAAAACAGAATTTTGCTAAGACTGAGCTTTGCTCTTTGAAAGCAACCCTTCTAAACAAACTGTAAGTGACTATGTTTAACAGTGGAAAAAGTCAGTAATGTTTTGTACTGATAACACTTTTCTTTTTCCCTTGATTGCATCAGGCTGTTCTGAAATGCACATTACACTGTAGGATGTCTGGCTGCTGGTCAGTTTTCATGTAAATGCTAAAAAAAAGTTCAGGGCTTGTAAGACTGAAGGTATAATATATGTTAAGTAGTGCCATGACTCTGCCCTTGAGGTCCTTGTCTAGCAAGCAGTTCTAGGAGTGCTTGAAGTTGAAAACATAAGCAGGTCCTTTTAAACAGTGGGAATATTACATGCATATTTTTAAGGCACTTAGGCAGTTGTCTTCAGGCCCAGGGTCTAATTCTGCCTTTAGCTGCCTGTTGATACATGCAATTAGTGTTAGAGTGACAGTTTTGTCATGTGCTTTTCCATTTGTAAGCATTGCTCACGGGACGTTGAATGTTGCGGAGACCAGTTTTGCGTTTGGGGTAAGTGCAGGAAAGCTGCTTCAAAAGGAGAGAATGGAACCATTTGTGAGAACCAACATGACTGCAACCCCGGAATGTGCTGTGCTTTTCAGAAAGGTACAGAGATTTTGGTTTTTATTCCATTTTATAGTACAGGAGTGTTAATATTTAGCTCTTTTGCTCTGGTAAAGTGGTTAAACCTGTATGGAATCACTGGCTCATTCTCCCTTGTCCTGTGGAGTGCTCTACATTAATTTCATTATAAAAGCTTTACTAGAACTAGGAGTGGGAAACAGCATGACAGGAGAATAAAATGGTGAAAGAAAAGCCTACTGCACATAAACAATGAGAACAGTTTAAGAAATATAAAAATTTAATGTTTGTAAAGGAGTCTCAGTCATTTAAAAGATGCAGAGATCTGCATCAAACTTTTACTCAACATAGCAAAAATAAAGGCACAAAAAATGCCTGACAGAAATAGATTTGAGCTTATCGAAAGTAGCTTTTCCCCTTATGTCAGTGGGTAGGCCATTGGAATCCAACTGCGGATATGTTTCGTACTCTGAGTTTTATAGGAGCTGTCTGTGGCACCACAGTGTGCAATACTGACCAGATAGACAGGATGTGCATTGGAATGATGTTTCAGATTATGTTGCTAGTCTACGCAGGAATGTGGAGAGGAAGGAGAGGAGGAGAAGATAGGAAAGGAAGAAGGAGAGGAAGGAGAAGATAACAGGCCTGAATCCTACCTGGTCAGGCCCCACCTCTGCCCCCAGAGCTTTTTCACTGTTTTCTACCCACTGTGCTTCTGTCATAGCTCGCCTCATTTTTGCAGTGACAAGATCCTATTTTAACTGTCTTTCTATCTACGGAGACATTTGCTGTATTGCTCTTTCCAGGTTCTTTTTAGTGAGCAAGAGGATTACCTTTTACCTTCACTGACAGTTGGGCTGCTTGTGCTGCCTTCATCCCACTGGTGGATAAGGCCACTAGGGCATTTCAGGAGAATGAAGGCGAAAGCTCATTTCAAGCACCATGTAAATGCAAGTGGGTCTCCTCAGCTTTTCCTTGTTGACTTAGAGTACTACATAGCAGACTTTATATGTTACAAAGTTTTTAGTTTCAAGAAGATTTGGTTAGATCAGTTTTGGTTTATTTTCCCTGCATCCAGTTTTCTTCCTCAAGTATTTACAGGTTTTGCTGAGCTTTATCGGGAATTTCTTTGTAGTCTCTAACCCTGAAAGAGCAGTTTTCATAAGTGCTTATGCTGTTACTGAAGTCAGTAGTGTGTAGATATTGGTGGCAGTAGTGGTAGGTTAGGGAATACTAATTCTAGAGTGCTAATTTCCCTGGGAATCTGAACAAACAGCATCTTATTGCTGATTATTTCCACTGCATAAAACCTTCATGCTAGTTTGAGTACAAGAGAGAGCTTGGCCTGAAAACAAACAAATTTAAAATAAACTTTTAACTGAGGAGGGAAGAATACAATAGATAAGTTTTAATGACAGTGTTCCACCAGTTTTAGTCAATATTTTTAAGGGAGCTGTTGGTTAAAGGCAATGGATTTTATTCTCTGCAGTTGTTTGCTTTAGCAGGGCTTTCGGGTTAGGTGCAAGTACAGTTTAGGCTTAACCTCAAGGCCTTTCTCCACGACTGGAGCATTGCAAAAGGTTGCCCTAATAAAGATAAGACTGCCTTTGTATGTATATTTTGTATATAGAAAACCAGGAGTATCCACTGATATGATATGTTTTGGAATTAGAAACTGATGATTCGCATAAATATATACAATTTTAAACAAACAAGCCTGTTGTACACAATTTTGATTCTGAGCTCTTCAGGTCTTGTTGTCTGCCATAACACAAGTGAGGTGAGTGAAAACCAGAGAAGGAAGGGGGAGGTTTAACAGGGACATGTGGAAAAGCTGAATTCAAGGTAAAACTCAGACGCTGTTAAGTTACTAGCACTAGGAAATCCAAACTGTATCCTTCTAAAAAAAGTCCTTAGGCAGGTTGAAATTCACCCCTGTGCAGAAACAGGGCACCAAGCTCCCTCCTACTATCAGTTAGTTTTGCTTATTATAGGATCGTCTGTATAACAAATTAAATGGCTGGGTAGCAGTTCTTACAACCTATTTAGTCTTTTGAACAATTGTTCTGTACTTGTAATCTCTGTAAAGACATAACAAAACAGGCGAATTAACACAGAGAGACTTCTATAATAGAAATATTTCTACATGCAGGCTTTGAACCATTAAAACTATGCATTGCAAACGATTCACTGTAATGTTAGTTTCCTCATATTTAGAACAGTCTTGGAAATCCCTAAGTGGTGGAGTTGTACAGTTACCATTGTAACTGACCGTAGTCTCTTTGCGAAGATGCGGAATGGATCTTGCTCATTAAGCATGAACTTAAGTCTTAATATCCTTCAAATGGCTTACTCCTATCTAGTGGAAAGAAGTTTAAGTGATGGATTCCTAACGTGTAGGAACACTTAAAAAGAGGTTAAGTCTTTCTTTGACTGTCTTGTATATAGAACTGAGGATTAGATCATCTCAGTTTAGCACTCAGTTAATGAATTCTCCTAAATTTAACTTACTTTGGCATGCAGAACTACTGTTTCCTGTGTGTACTCCATTACCTGAAGAAGGTGAACCCTGCCATGATCCTTCAAACAGACTTCTCAACCTGATCACCTGGGAACTGGAACCCGATGGAGTACTTGAGCGATGCCCATGTGCAAGCGGCTTGATCTGCCAACCTCAGAGGTAAGGATCTTCACTATAAAGTGTTTTGGCTGCTTTTCTCACCAGTGACTTTGAAAATACCTCAGACTTACTGTGTTGTCCTACATAGATGCGCCTAACTGAGTTTGGCAACAGCTTACTGCTGGGGTAAATGCAGTTCGTGTGTCAGGCTGGTACTGCTTTTTAATCAAATGAGTAATAGCATCTGCTTAGAAATTACATTTTGATTTCATTCTCTGCATACAGCTCTTGTCCGGCGTTTTTCTTTATTAGGTCAGGTTTTGCTTGATAACTGTTGCTTTCATACCTATATCAAAAATATTTTAGTACATGAGGTAGGTATGAACATGCATGCTCTTGTACTGATGATCAGCTTTACAGCCCAAGGAAAAAGGCAGATGTCTGCTTGCTTTTCCCTTCAGTTTCTGACTGATCTGAGAAGCCAGTTTCCCAGCTGACTTAAGATCTTCTGTGCAGATTTGAAACCACTTCATACTGTGCAGACTTCTTCAGTATCATTATGACTTTTGTGGAGAGTGAAGTAGACTGACTCCATATTTTCCCCTAGAAACTAAAACTTAAACATATCATACCTTTTCCACTATTCTTTAAAAGGATAGTTATTTGCATTATCAACCTTTTCATTGGAAGAAAGCTGGATTATTTCAGTTTTGCACTAAAAGCATTTTAGAAAAACCAACATCTTATCTGCGAAACAATAAGCTTTCTTCTTCAAGTTTCTTGCTACATTACAATTTTCATTCTAATAAATTTTAGCCAACCAGCATAGCTACATTTCTTGTATACTGTGACAGAGATATGGATTAATATTTTTCTCTTCCACTCTGCCCAACACTATTTCTACTTTTTTTAAGCACATGAAAAACAATGAAGTAACATTTTGTTTCATAAATTTGATCTAAGGAAACAAGGAAAACTGATCCCATCCTTTCAGCACTGGACTCTCAGTTAATGTGCAAGTACTGTTAACCTCAGCCAAGGTGTCAGCAGTATGTCATGTCCAGTGACAAGGAAAACATTTCAGATGAGAATATAGAAAAACAAATAAATTTGGATGTGAATAAAACGGAGCCATCCAGCTATAGCCACAAGAATTATTTACTGGCCTAGGATTATCACAAGTACAGTAATACTGTGCATACTGCCTGCCCATTACTCACATGGACAGCAGGCTAAAGCTGCTTTTGTGAAATTATACAGTGAATTTGAACCTTTGCTATTAAAAGAAACAAAAACCTCCCATCTCTGCTTGAAGTGAACCTTGTCTGAATGTGTGCCTAGTGCCTACTAGTGCCTGATAAACACACTGAAACTATCAGACCCTTCCATTATAGCCTAAAGAATACAGTCAGCTCAAAAAAAATGAACATCTTTACACCGAGAAAGCAAAACACATGAGAATTAAAAGCATACATAAAACAAGCTTTAAGAACACTGTTAGCTCATTTACCCTGTTTTTTTTTTTCCAGTGAAAGAAACTGCAGCTTTAAGCAGTAGCTGGTTGAGGAGAGCCTGGCCCAAGCAGTAGTCAGCTTGTGTGCTGTAACAGGGACTTGTAGTCCCATACCGTCCCTTGCAATGCAAAGCGACCTTGAACG